ATCAGGCGGGGTCAACTGTTGGGCCAGGGGCACAGTTTGAGAATGAAGACCTTCCCCGGTAAAAACACAGCGAGCACCTGGAGGGGCACTTCCATCGAACAAACTCGCATGTTACGCGAATTCGTGAGTCCTGCATAATTCGCCCGGAAATCCTTGGCGAGAGCGCGATTCCTAAGTAACTTATGAGGAAGTCCCAGGCGAGGGCGCGATTCCTGAATGGCGAGGGCGTGGCGCCTGAATAAATTGCGAGGAGTCACAAGCGACAGATGGAAGTATCAGGCGGAGCCGCTGTTGCTGTAAACCGGGGGCCAGAGCAGCGCCCGCGCCTCAACTGCATGTCCAATCGACTGTAACCAGGAGGTCACTCAGCACAGGAGCAGGGAGAGACGTTTAGATGCGACCCAGACGAGCCGCCCCCTGCGAAGGACCCGCAAAGACATCCTGTCGCGTGGGATCATTTTGGTGCAACTCAACCCAGGACCCATATTCCGACTCACAAGCATCCGTCTGCTGCCGACCCCCAGCCAATCAAGTCCCGCCCGTCCTAAATCTGCCCTCCTCTACCCCCGCGAATGTCCAATCTCCCGCAATCACGCGCACGGCATGGGCAGCTGGCGGGGGGGTTGGCCTGAATAACCCCCCTTGTGCCTGCGATGTTTCTCGGCGGGGTCCGAGGTAGCGGGCATGTAAAACATTCAGAATCATGGAGTCACCTTTCCGCCCCTTCATGTGCGAAGCCAAGATCCGCCCAGGGACGACCGCGCGCGGGCTGCACGAGTCAAACTGCGCCATCGGTCTTCTGGACAATTTGGTTACCACACTCCCATCTGCATTCGGCTCAATCGCGGAATCGTGAACAACTGCGTGCCGACAGCGATCATCCTGGCAGAGCATTTCACAATCTGCGCGCGTGCCATGCGTCTCCTGTAAGCACGCCGCATCAAACCTGCCGACAAGTTGGAGCATCCGCGCGCGTCGCGCTCCCGTAAGTGGCAAAAAGTCGCATGGGGCGAGAAAGGGCGTGATTGTTCCATGTGCAAACAGAAAGAGAAGACTTAGGCGAGAAAGCTACGTGCACTCCAGAGGCAGGGTCGCCAGGCGTGACCCACCTTCCGAATTCAGGTTTACAATCAACTCAGGTTGGCTGGCTGAGCCCCTCTCCGGCGTTCTAGGGCCGCGCAGGTCTTAGGGCCAACCCCAGACGGCTCTCCACCCGACGGAAGACCAGGGGCTCCAGGAGAGCGCAAAAACATGCCAGCCAGAGCACCAATGGTCTCGAGCAAGGATGCTCCTGGACAACTGGCTGGGCCCATCACACAAAGGGACGAATTCGATCAACAGGTGCCTGGACGCAACCAGCATGAGCCTCTTTACCAACACTACTCAGACCGTTAGGACCACCGTTAGGATCAAGCAGGAGACCCGGTACACCGTACACCTGACTCAGAAATCGTGACCTTCGCCACCACGACAGGGTGCACGCGGATAAGGAACCCACAGACCTGCCCGCCGAGTCCGTTGCTTCCGACCTGAATATGACCCAGCACGTTGCCGACGATAGCACGAATCTGACCAAGATAAAAGAAGAACTTCAGACTGGCAGGGGGGAGGTCCCGACGCCCGCGTAGCTCCCAACCAAGACCGTCGATCGGATTCTGGTGCACAGTCTCCCCAATGCTCTGGCTCTTCCCGAAGAACGCTGGACACGCGAGTGCACGGGAAGTCGAGAACCACCTTCCTAGTCAGTGAGCACGCGCGCCCGATCGGCACTTCTACCAAGGCACTGCACTGCGCGATGATGGGCTGGAAAGCTTCTTTCAACAAGGCCTCGACGAGTGGCAAACCAAGAACGATGAGACGAGGTGGCGCTCGCTTGGTCAGAGCCTGATGTCCTCAGAACCCTACGGCGACCACCTTCCTCATCTCCCCCCCACAATCTCGAAGTCCGAGTCGGCGCGAGCCGAAGTACCCGACGAGACCACGGCCCTCAAGTCATTCAATTGAGTTTTGACGTCATCAAACGTGGCCGCGAGCTCAGCATCAGTGTGGATCATTACCTGGTGAATGGCCAAGTCCTGGGCACGCTCGGTCACTGCGGAACGCTCCTCCCGCCTAACTGCGATCCTAGGGAACACACATCGCATGCGATCGACATCCGCACCGAAAGCAATCATCTGACTCCTGAACAAAAACTCAAACTCGGCGGTGTGTGTGGTGCAGCCCTGTGGCGAAGCCTTATCTGGGACGCCAGCGCGAGACGCGCCGGACCTCTGTACCTGGCGGGCGCCGCCGTCCGGGGGTGCCTCTCCTGCCCCCGCCGGGGCCTCGGGCACGCGGGGCGCGGCGGGCGCCGGCAGACCCGCCGCGGAACCTGACGCCCGCGCCAAGGCCGCCGTGGCGGAAGAGCGGGGCGGGGAGAGGACGGGGCGCGGCGGCCCGCGGCGGGGCGGGGGCAGGAGGGCCCGAGGAGCGGGTCGAGGCTGGCGCCAGGCGGCGCGGCTCGCGCAGACCACCCTGAGCCGACACGGCTTCAGCCAAAATGGCTTGAGCCAAAATGGCCACGGGAGGAGGAGGAGGAGGAGGAGGAAGAAGGAGGAGGAGGAGGAGGAGGAGGAGAAGGAGGAGGAGGAGGAGGAGGGAGAGAAGTCCTGATGCGCCGCACCTCGCAGAAGGCCGCGACCAGACTCTCCACCAGGTCCTCCTGGACGTCCGAAGGCAGCCCGCCGATGAGCAGGGTCGCGCCCCGCCCGGCGGCGGATCCGCTCGGTGCCGCTGCGGCCCCGGCGCTGCCGCCGCCGTCGGCGATCACCTCGACCAACCTACGACGAAGCCATGACGAGGACAAAATCGGGTGGGAATAAAGCGTGAAAATCAAGAAATTCTGCGGCTCTGGAGGATGTCTCGGGCGCCGCGGCCTTCTCAGAGCGTCTCGGAATGCTCTGAGAGCGTTCCAAAACGCTCTGGAACGGGTTTCTCCTCGTCTCAGCCCCGCCCGACAACCTCGCGCTATGCTTGCCCTTGGTGCTGTCCCACCCGACCTCAGGAGGCAACTTCTGGGAGATTTGCATGAGAGAGATGCGGGGACATGAAGCCCGACGAAGGGGCCATTAAGCCGGACTGGCCCAAATTAGACCTCATCTCATACCATAATGAGCAGGATCCAATGGAATTCGTAAGGATTATACCAGACTTGGACGGCATTCGACCACGGATGCACCAGCGCCGAAGCTCAACGTAACCTCCCAGGAGTTGCATCCTTACCTACCTGGAAGGAAACGCGGTCGTTGGGGCCCAGGGCGGTTCCGCCGACGAGGTCGTTACGGTGCACGAAGACCTCGACCTGGAAGTCGTCAGGCAGTATGAAGCCGAAGCCCTTGTCTGTAAACGTCCTGACGGTCCCGACGAGCGGCACGTTCAGCGGAGGGCCTGGGCGTTCAAAGCGCGCACGAGATGAGGCCCCTCACGAGAGAGAGAGAGAGAGAGAAAGAAATAAAGAGAGAGAGAGAGAGAGAGAAAAAGAGAAAGAGAGAGAGAGAGAGAGAAGGGATGAGAGCTTTGGCCCAACGACGGCTGAAAAGTCTGCAGGGGGCATCCAAGGTCGGCTATGCACAAGAGCGACCCTGGGCAGGAGTGACCTGTGGTGCGCGACTTTCGGGGGGGCGCGGGGCGCCAAACCCAGGCGCGCCAGCCGCTGATATCCAACCGCATTCAGCGATCGGGGGGCCCCGTTGGGGTCGCGCAAAACAGCACTCTAGCGAAGGGTCACTCTTACGTGTGCCCGACAAGGTCGTGCCGCAGAACTGTTCCGCCTGTCCCCTGGACGAAAGTCTCCCTGCAAATATCCTCATTTCGCGCGCGCTTTTGTCCGCTGACCGTCGGTGCCGTCCGCGCACAGCAGGGGTGGTGGCGATGCGTCCTCCCCAGCATCGCCAAACACTTCACACGCCGTCGCGTGGTACTTGCCTTTCGCGCTATCCCATCCAACCTTTAAAAGAACGCGCTCGCCGTTGCTCAACATGGGTCTGCTGACGTGCAAGACCTTCCGGTGCACGAATATGTCGACCCGGTAATCGTCGACCGAGGCGAAGCCGAAGCCCTTCTCTTCGTACCAGGTCTTGACAGTCCCCTTCAGCGGCACGTCCAGTGGGGGTTCTGGGCCTGCACAGCCACATCGGATCGCACTGGCGCGTGGACCCCAAACATAAACTGGGCTGGGCTAGTAGAGAGGGCTAGTAGGCATGGGCGGGCGTTGCCAGCCAGGAACCAGTACGGGCTACTAGCAGCAAGCCGCGCTGGTGACACTCAGGAATCGTGTTGGGGAGGCGGGGGCGATCATCGCAGGACCCATCGTTCCCTAATGGAGAGCCATGAGCTAACCGAACATATGATCAAGACAATGATCATCAAACCATCGGGATCTGCTTCCCGAAAATTTCAGAAAATAAACCTTGGCCAACTTCTGGTGTCACCGCTGGAGGTGCGAACGTACTCACGAAGCTGTGCCAGCTATCTGGCAAGTCTGTCAAGCAAAGCTGGCCCAGCTATTCGGAAGGAGGCTTCTGAATCAGATGCTCGCTTGCACTTGCAGCTGTCAGCCTCGGCGACTAGCACAGCTAGGCTGGGCCAGGGCGAATGGCAACTGGCGCTGGCGGCCAGCAGGGCGAGCGGGACCAGTGGGTCGGGGGTGGGCCAGCAGTGGCCTGTGGCCGCAACCAGCGCTGTCGACACGAGGGCACTTGGGTCAGGGTTGGCTGAGCAAGGACTTGAAGAGGCTGTAATTCGGGCGTTGGCAGAACTGGGTTTAGTGGAACCTGGTTTAGTGATGTGTACTGCGGGAGGCCCCCCCGCCACGTTCCACTAACCAGAACTGCCGTCCCCCGAAAAACACCAGCTACGACAGACCTGGCTGAGAGATTCTGGCCAATTCAAGGGCCCCGGGGCCCTACCGCTAATCGGGTCCCCTTACATTCCTGGGGTCCTGGCTATACCCGAATAATGGCGGCAACCAGTGGTGGTGGCATCAAGGCTACTGGCACTGGTAGGGCAGGGAGCGCAGCATGGGCGCGGTGGCAACCAACATTGGCAAGCCTGTCTGGGGGCAGTGGGGTTAGGCAGGGGCTGACATGCGCCTGTGGCGGCAGCCAGCGCCAGCGACAAGCATGGCTAGCGAGGCTGGCAGGGCGAGATCCGACCATAGGGGCTAGTCTGGCGTTCGGAAATTCGCCGGCCCAACGGGCCAGAGGCGTGCTAATATCTCCGATAACAAGTTAACAATACCTATACGACCACCCTGCGGATGATAAGTAGGTTGGGGGGGGAGGGGGCCAGCAATGGGCAACAGTAGTGATTGTTGTTCTGACGATGCCTGTGGAGATCGTTGCGTTGCCGCTCGCTCTTGTGAGCCTTGGTGTCGAGTTGTTTACGGCACCCTTCGCTCTTGGGCGCCTTGGTACCATTCCCCCCCTCCCCCAGGAACATCTTCACTATCGATTCCACTATCGATCTCGCTATCGTTCCCACTCGATCGATCTCACTATCGATGTCACTATCGGTCTCACTATCATTATCACGATCGATCTCACTATAGATCTCCCTATCGATCTCTCACTATAGATCTCACTATCGATCTCACTACCGGTCTCATGATCGATCTCATTATCGATCTCACTCTCGATCTCACTGTTGATCTCACCACGGGACACCACGGGACAACGACGGGACACCGGCGGGACACCAGCGGGACACCAGCGGGACACCAGCGGGACACCGCGCGCCACCGGCTGCCGGGCGGAGGACATTTTGGTCCGGCCGCGGCCCAGCCACGACGGGACACCGGCGGGACACCAGCGGGACACCAGCGGGACACCGCGCGCCACCGGTTGCCGGTCGGAGAACCTTTTGGTCCAGCCGCGGCCCAGCCACAGGAGAATTTCCTCTCCCCCGCCCACGCAGCTTCGCCTCGCCCGCACGCACGGCACGAACACTAAACCGAAATCGATTTCCCGGTAGGGGGGCTCTCCGTTCCACTTCGATCTCAAGCCCCAACCTCCGATAACAAGTTCGCACGCGCGAGGCGGCCCCTGGGGGCCCCGACGCGACAAGTACCCCGCCCCAGTCCAGGCAAGTGCCCGCCAGAGATGCCGGAGGCCCCCCAGACGTTAAGAGGCGCCCAAGACGGCCTCAAGAGAGCGCCCAGACGGTCCAAGAGCCCTTGGAGTCGAGATCGGCCGACGATGCCACAAGATCGCTCCAAGATGCCCACCATGGCCTCCAGACGCCCCCCAAAGCCTTCAAAAGCACTCCCAAGAGGGCCCCAAGAGGCAAAATGCATTGATTTTCCCAAGGTTTTGGGCAATTTTTCGGGTTTATCCTTTTTCGGCTTCCCGACGCTCCAAGATGGCCTAAGAGGCTCCCAAGATCGCCCCAAGAGGGTCCAAGAGGACCCCAAGACAGCCCCAAGACAGAGGGGCCCAAGAAGGTGACCAGGAACCGAAAAGTCCAGCCTTTAGTTTTAAGAGACCCCCAGGAGGCCCAAGAGGCCACAAGGGGCCCACAAGAGGCACCCCAGGAAGCCCCAAGAGGCCCTCAAGAGGCCCCCACACGGCCCCCGAGAAGCTTCAAAACTGCCTCGCAAAAGGCCGCTGAGAGGCCAACCACGAGAGCCCAACCAACATCCGTGAGGCCTCTGACCCGCCACCCACCGCCTCCAAACATGATCGACCCACGAACCCGGAAAGGAATGTAGAACTGTAACACATGGCAGCGTTTTCAAAGACACCTGATTGGGTGACGGGCAAATGCAATACTGAAGGTATCGATCTTGATGTACCCTGCCGAGGGCTGTGCTGTGCTGCGCCGTGCTGAATTGCGATGTGCCATGGCGCGATTGTGCTCTATAGCCTCGTGGATCGAGTCCTCCTTTGCATCCGAGTCCTGACCGAACTGATCTGGATCTTAAGCTCGAGCTGCCTGAACACATAGTAGCTGCCCCAGAGCTAATGGACAGGGGAACATGCCAGGAGGACGCGCCGCGAAACGTCCCAAGGGATGCGCCAGGCGACGTGCCAGGGGACGTGCCATGGGGTCGCACCGCGGGACGTGCCAAGGGGACGCGCTACGGAACGTGCCAATGGATGTGCCACGGGATGTGCCAGGGGACGCGCGACGCGACGTGCCAGGGGGACTCGCCAAAGGACGCCCCACGGAACGTGCCAAGGAACGTGCCAAGTTGCAATGCTGAGTGCATCGACCTTGATGTACCGTGCCGAAATCAGTGCTGTGCTGCGCCGTGCTGAATTGCGATGTGCCATGGCGCGATTGTGCTCTATAGCCTCGTGGATCGAGTCCTCCTTTGCATCCGAGTCCTGACCGAACTGATCTGGATCTTAAGCTCGAGCTGCCTGAACACATAGTAGCTGCCCCAGAGCAAATGGACAGGGGAACATGCCAGGAGGACGCGACGCAGAACGTCTCAAGGGACGCGCCAAGCGACGTGCCAAGGGACGTGCCATGGGGACGCACCGCGGGACCTGCCAAGGGGACGCGCTACGGAACGTGCTGGGGACAAGCGTTTCGCTCGAGACATCCTGTCAAAATCATTTGAATTCCTACGCGCGGGACGCTGCACGCGCGAGACATCCTCGGAATTCCTGCGAGCGGGACGTGAAAACAAGCATTTCGCCTGAGACATCCTTTGAATTCTGGCCCCCCACGAGGCCACCGCTCGAGACATCCTCCAATTTTGCAAAACCAGCGTTTCGCTCGAGACATCCTCAACAAATTATGAAAAACAAGCGTTTCGCTCGAGACATCCTGTCAAAATCCAAAGAAATCCAAATACCCGCGCGCGGGACGCGGCACGCGCGAGACATCCTTGGAATTCCTGCGCGAGGGGCGCTTTTCCGTGTCGCGGTCGGCTCTGCAAAACCAGCGTGTCGCTCGAGACATCCTCAACAAATTCTGAAACCAAGCGTTTCGCTCGAGACATCCCCAACTCTGCAAAACCAGCGTCTCGCTCGAGACATCCTCAACAAATTCTGAAAAACAAGCGTTTCGCTCGAGACATCCTCCAAAATAATTTCGCCGGCCCTACTCGTGCGTGCCCGCTCGCAAAATAATTTCGCCGGCCCAGGCCGGGGGGTTAACCAACTAAAAGAGAACCCTGGGCCCACGCCCTTTCCGGGAAAAATGGCAGCCACCCAACCGCACCGCATTGACAACAACACCCCGATAAACGACAGCGGCGAGGCAATATGGGCGGCGGAAAAAGCGAAGCGATTAAATGTAAACAAGCAGGCCACAAAATACGACAAGAGCCCCTTCAGTGCAAGCGCTAGTCGGTCAATGCCTGACTCTTCCAGTTGGGGACGCCTGGGTCAAGCGGCGGCTGATAGGCCTGCTGGGGCTACCCAAGGCTGTGCCGCAAAGTTGATGCGCCCGCCACTGGGCCATCCACAACGGCATGCCCCCCATGGAGCTCACCACTCCGCACGACCTTTTGCCCGCGGACCTTCGGCAGCATCTGCCCACCTCTGCGGGTGAATGAATCCCCCGTTCTGCTCTGCGCCCAATCAGCCCCACGCCCAATCCGAATGCATTTGACTTCCACCACCCCGACGAGTATAGTTCCCTCCTGTTCACCTCACCCTCCAGTGCACTCTCTCGGGTGCAACTCCCCTTCGTTTGCCTCCACCTCTCACTGTCGTTGGGCCTGGGGCGTGGTAGTGTGTGTGTATGGAGAGAGGCATTCTAGATAGGGTCCGAGTGGATGGGGTCGGAGGATCGCGCAGCATCGGCCATGCATCGGCGATACATCGCCGATGCATCGGCGATGCATCGGCGACGTCGGCGAGGCATCGGCGCCATCGTCGTGGAGAAAATCGGGCTCCACATCGAGCTGATTCGCCGATGCATCGGCGATGCGGTGCGATCCTCCGACCCCATCCATTCCGCCCCCATCTAGGAGGACCAGAGTGTGTGCTACAACGCGTAAGAATGTTGTTTATCTGATTGGCCCGCGACCACCGCTGCCCGCTACCACTGCTGCCACGACCAGGGGCCGGAGGAGGCGCCGGCAGGCGCGGCGGCGAAGATGCTCCCTGTCGGAGAGACTCAAGATGCTGCTCGAGAATGCAGGATATCGGTGACCTCCTGACCTGGTTCAATCCAAACCTGGGTCAGTCGGGCTTTGCAGGATCCAGCACCATACTGCAGGAGCCTGCAGGATCCTGCACCCAAGCCCGGGCCAGTGTTCCCCTGACCCTGCAAGATCCGGCGCTCTGACTGACCCACGTTTGCATTGACCCCCGTCTCTTGAGCCCCGAAGGCAGACCTTGGGACGTCGGGAAGCCCAGGCCCGAACCGCGGCGACCCTGTTAACTCCCGATGGGACCCACCCTAGTAATGTTTGATGACTGTTCGCGCATGCGCCTTTTCTGTTTTGAAAGCGTCCAAGACGGCCCGAGGCGGGCCAAATCCAAGATGGGCCCAAGAGGCCCCTAAAACGACCCCTAGAGGGGGAACTCAAACTGAAATGTGGAGCCCTCCGATACACGATGTCCTCAAGAGCCCCCCACGAGCTTCAAGAGGCCGCCGAGACGCCCCCTCAGAGGCTTCAAGATATCCCATCATGCCCCTGAGACGTCCCAGAGTCTCCAAAAGGTCACCGAGAAGTCTCAGAAGCAACCTCTGGTCCACGACACAAGCACAGTGGCGGGGTGGGAAGGACGCTAGATCCGCCGCCACCTGTGGGCTCGCCACAGGGGTGCACGGCGTGCTGGATGTTTGTTTGCTTGGGCTATGTAAGACGACCGCACTGCCCACTGGCGCTTGGCCTGATGCGCCAGCCACCTGGGATAGGTGGGAGGTAGTGTGTTTCTGCTCCAGATGGCTCCAAGACTGCCAAGACGGCCTCAGATACGAACAATATTGCATCAAAATGTCCCCACAAGGCCCAAAGATGCCTCAAAGACGGCCCAGGAGGCCCCCAAGACAGCCCAAGATGGCGTCCCCAAGTCCCCGACATCCCGACTCCCCGACTTCTCGATCCCCCGACGTCTCGATTCCCCGACTCCCCGACTCCCAGCTTTCCCGATTCCCCGACCCCCCCGCTCCCCAACTTCCCCATTCCCCGACTGCCCGATGCCCCGACTCCCCCGACTCCCCGACGCCCCGACCCCCCGACTCCCCGACTCCCCGGATCTCCGATTCCCCGACCTCCCCGACTCCCTGACTCCCCCGGAGCCGCGACTCCCCCGACTCCCCCGACTCTCCGACGCCCCGACGCCCCGCCTCACCGACCCCCGACCTCCCCGACTCCCCGACTGTCCGAGTCCCCGAATCCCCGTACCCGAATCCCTGACTCTCCGACCTCCGGGCTCTCCGACCGACTCCCCGACTCTCCGACCCCCCGACGCGGCCCGACTCCCCAACCAGGCCGACCCCCTGAGCCGATTAGGGCCCCCTGAGAGGCTCCGCTGGGACCTCCTGTGGTCTCCTTGGGGCTTTCTCCGGAGCATGTTCCCTCCCCTCTCCCATGTTATATTTTTTTTTTTTCTCTCTCTCTCTCTCTCTCTCTCTCTGTGTCTCTCTTAGTTATTTTTTTCTTGTTTTGGGTTCTCTCTCTCTCTCTCTCTCTCTCTCTCTCTCTGTTTGAGCCCCCAGCGAGGCCCGAACTGCGTGTAGAATCCCGCCCACCAGTTCCCTGGGGCTCCAGGAGGGATTGAAGAAGCTACGATCTCCCAACTGAGGCTGGAGATCGTGGCGGGTAGGAAGTGCCTGAGTGGCCCTGCTGGGGCCTCCTAGAGCTTCTTTGGGGACTTTCTCGAGAGCCCTCTCTCTCTCTCTCTCTCTCTCTCTTTCTGTCTCCCTCGAAGCCTCCAGGGAGGCTGGAACAGCTGGCATAATCCTGCCCAACAGCCCCCAGGGGCTCCAGGAGAGACCCAGAAGCTGCAATCTCCCAACCGAGGCTGGAGATCGTGGCGGGTCAAGGCCCCCCGACAGGCCCTGCCGCGAACTCCAGTGGTCTCCTTGGGGCTCTCTCGGGAGCCCTCGTTTTGTTGTTTTTTGTCTCTCTCTCTCTCTCTCTCTCACGCGACGCTCACAGCAAGAACGGTGGTCGCCATAGCCTGGATGGAACATCATCGCAAACAGTGACTCTCTCACCTTCTGGATTAGCACGGCCACATACGGCGACGGGTATCCAGAGTTCGAGTGCCGTCCCAACCGACGGGGCGCTTCCATATATAGTTTTTTTTCTTCGTGCACATAGTCGGCAGCAGCGGGTCGCATCCCCTTCTTCTTCATCTCCAGCGCAGGTTGGCATGGCCGCGTTCCAGAGGGTCTTTGAGCAGGGCGACACAGCAGAGCGCATCAGACAATGCGGCCCAGGGCCCACTGGATAGGCCAGTTTCGCCAGGTGTCGACATACTACTGCGACATCCTCCAAGGCCTCTCGGACTCCCTGCAGTTGACGCACCAGCGGGCAGAGAAGGAGGAGAGGATCAGGAACAACCAGACATGGGCATGGCGAACCCAGAGAGAACCACACGAGGAGATCATGGATGTGGTCATGATGGACTCGGACGCGGACATCACAGAGGAGGAGGCCCTGCGAATGTTGAGGAGGGACTACGGCCAGGTCGACACAGATCAAGAATGGTCGATGTCCTCCAACGATCGCTGGTCAATGGCCTCATAGCCTCAGAGGAGGCCAAGGAGCGCCTCATGGTCCGCTGGCCGCTCCCCATCCGCCACATCAATGACCACAATATCGTGTTTGCAGTAATTCAAGATACTCTTTTTCGTTCGTCCCACGTTCCCCAGGAGTCAGCGTCCAGCCAACTACGGCTATGGATCTGGGCCCATAGGTTTCACAGACATGCAGTCCCCAGGCTGGCGAGCCTGTTATCCTTCTTACTCGAGTACGTTGCGGGCCCGACGAGGCCGGCTTACCGCCCCCTCCGAGGGGTTTATCTATGGAGTGTTGTCAGTTTCGCACTAGTCATGCTCGCCATTCTCCGACTTCGACGGGCGCAGGCACAGCGCAGGTTACCGTCGTGGGCGAGACAAATTCTGGTCATGATCGCCCCCGACTTGCGTGCTGCCATCAACGACTGGGATCATCCACTTCCCTTTCGGATCTTCGAGTGCTTTCTAGGACCACCGCGGGGGGATACCCGTGCTGTGGTGCATGTGCTTGGCAGTCCTAGTGGATTGTACATTGGCAAGGCAGCGCTACGTGAGTCCGCCCTTCCAGGGCTGCTTGGCCGAGTGGCTGAACATGTACGGGCTGTACTCCATCCGCGAGTGGGCCCTGGGCGGCGACCCCGCTACCGCGTCCTCAGGCGGAGCCTAGGGTCCTTGTTCTTCTTACCTGTGCTGCTACTACGAACAGAGAAGGCGAGTTTTCACTTTGAAGCATTGGCTATCAGACGCTTCAACCCGAAGTGCAACCAGTGCGACGCTATGGAGTCCGAGGCAGTCAGCAGGCGACGCGGAGCGGGGCAACTCCACGCGATGGCGAAGACCCGCAGCGCTCGCCGCCGCCGTCCCCCGTCGTGGAGGCGCGGGCCGCGGGCGACCATCAGCGCCCCCGCGTGGACAGCCACAATCCTCTCGGCTGTAGCAGAGCATGCACCCCGAGCTGAAGGACCTGGTCTGGAGGCCCTATACCCAGGGGCACTTGCAGAGGCAGCGCCGTACGGAATCTTGTACCGACTCCAGATCGAGGAGCACTACCACCTTACGGGGGAAGCTGGACCACTGTGATATTCGAAGGCAAGAGGCTCGGGCTCCTCCTTGCCTGCCTCGCAGCCAAGTGGAGAGATCTACCCGTGTTCACGTTCAGGAGCCGTTTGGAGGTTGGTGCCCACCTGTACCTCGCGGCATCGCAGGCACAGTTCTTTCTACGGTCGTTCCATCGGCAGCGGATGGCCATGCATCACATTGACTTGCACCTACGGCGTCTACGACTCCCCCGAGCGAGATGCCCACCCAATCAGCTTCCTGCCGCCTTTCAGGGGGTTGAGTACCGCCGTTGGCTTAGTTCGGCTATCACGGCCATGGCACGGTCAATGAAGTTTGCCCCAGCTCGAGAGGTGTACATCAGACCACCGAGGGCAACCTATGCGAAGGCCCCGTCATGGAAGGACCATGTCTCTGCCAGTCGTTTTTGTGCTGAGTTCTCGTCGCAGGCGCCACCGCACCCGCCAGACGGGCCACCGTCAGCCCCATGGCGCCTTCGGCGCCTGGAGGGGCCTTGGCGCCTGCCCGTGCGGCCGCGCCCTCGGCGGGCGTTGCGAGAGGCACGTGCAGCTCTCAGCTTGTGGGCAGCCAAGGCACGCATCCCCTACCGCGTTCTCCGACGAGGCTTTCGACACCTCAGCGCGCGGCTGTCAAATCGCTGGGTCAGGCCACCTGAAGCGCCCCCAGCGTGGCGTGAGGTGGAGGCAGGCATGGCCAACAGCCTCGAAGAATCCAACGAGTGCGTGATCACCGCGGACGACAAGGAGTGTGACAAGGTGTGGGCGTGTGACGGCTGCGACATGATGCGTTACCTCCACCAGCTGGCGATGGCCGACCCCGACTGGACGCCAAGGCTGGGCATCTCCCCGAGGGGCGCAGCAGTCTGGATGTGGGGACGAGCTGTGGCCGCACTGCCACCGTGGCTGTGCACGCCGCGCTTCCTGCCTCCGCTATCAGCCGACACAAAACCGCCGTGCGTTTTCCCTGCGGTCAAAGGAAAATGTTTCTCACCCCAGGGGGAGCGCACGTGTCACAAACCTTTCCACAGTTGCCTTCGTCGCGTCATCAATTGTTCCCAAGCACCAAGACCGTATGGTTTCCAGATAATTGGTCGGGCAGTTCGAGATATCCTGTCGCGGAGCGGGCTCAGCTCGGAGGTCTTCAGCACCAATGATGCCGCAAGCGAGATCCGCCGTCTTCGGTGCTCCCTCCCGTCCGCAATAGCGTCACATTGTGTCCGTTGCTCGCAGCCCATCTCGGATATCAGAGTTGTGGTTGCCGATGCGGACCAGGCATTTGAGCAGCGCAGTGCATCCGCAGTATCGAAAGCGTGGACGGCTATTGCGTCAGAGGC